GACTATTTTTGATTTTTTTCCCCCAACTGAAAATGAATAGAAACAGTGTTGGAATAACATTTTAAATATTATTATTTAAGGTGTTCTATACATGAACTGTTGCTAGCTGTTTTGCTAACAGGCCAATAAAGCTGTTCAGTAGGTGTTTAACGCTAACGTGCTAAAGGTTGACGTGTGTAAAAGTGCTTTACCCCCTTCTGGTGTAGTTTGTGTGGGTGTGGCAGGTTTGATTGGGGTGACCCCTGATGAAGGGCTAGTGGTACATTTCTGCAGATTGCAGTACTCCCATCGGACATTAGGGTCAGTCGTGTAACACCAGGGAGCCCTGTCTCCATCGGGGTTCCTGCACAGATTCCTCCTGAGGTTGCTGTGGAGAGCAGGACAACTACTGGCTAGAGGTTTTCGATTACAAGTTAAAACCACCAGAGGGCAGGTTTGCTCCTGGGGCTGAAGATGTAAATAAAATGACACTCACGCTGCTGGGTAATTCTCTGGAGTCTTGGAATGGCTGTGAGGACTCATGGAGCGCCACATCTGACACTTCTTTCCACTGATGGTCTCTGATGTGATGCCACGGTAATTTGCGCCGTCCCCCTCATAACAGTCTTCTTCCTCTGGGGGGATCATGGGGTCGTCTGCAGCCGACAAATATGGACAAAGTACATAAACCTGAGGCAATGGCTAGAAACTGCAGTACTATGAGGTACTCCAGTCATAGTACCTGGTCTGGATTGGTCCCCGCAGCTTGGTACTGTGCAGTACTCCCAGCGAATATCAGGGTCAGTGGTGTAACACCAGGGTCGCCTCTCATGGCCTGGGTTACGACAGTGGTTGTTCTCCAGGCCTCTGACAGGAAATGGACAGAAAAAAGGAATCAGGACCTGAAAGCTACGTTGCTGTTGTTACAAATACAAAATAGTTAAAAAAAAAAAAAGAAGACGTTAGTGCGTACTTGCAGGGGTAGTTGTCTGGGGTGTGGTTGTGCTTGTGTGGCGTCTGAACCGACCAGCTCTGGCAGGTTTTGCCCGACTCTGTCACAGAGATGGTGCCCCTGTAGGCTTCGCCCTCACCTGTGGCACAGGTGGTCTCAGCAGCAAGGGTCGGTGGCTCAGACGCTGAGGGAAGAGGACAGGATGTAGAAACTGTCAACGTCTTACGTACTTCACATAACGTTTGATTATTTTGGTTGAATGTGGTTTGGATACAAATGTTTTTTTAATCATATATTAATTATTTTTGACAATTATCAATTTATTATTATTTATTTTTCCAAGAAATTTTATTTTGGTGTATCACTACTATTTAGTCTACAAATACTCATTGTGAGGGGTAGTTATTTGCCTGCTGGTACTGTTTAAGGATAAGACTTGTTGTCTGAGGGTTGCAGGTTCCAATCCCTCAGCAGTTGACTAAAGTACTTCTCTGTGTTTGGGGTTGCAGGATGCAGGTGATACCTGTCCAGTCCAAGGAGACGACGACGTGATGAAATTATTATCCAGCAGGTAAGACCTTAAAGGTTTGCATTCTAAATATAAATGTATTTTATTTTCCCTGTTGGGACCACAGGAAGAACTGTGTTCAGCCTGAGATCATAGAAAAGTTGGACTCACTGCAGCGGGTAATGGAGCAGAAGTCCCATCGTTTGGATGGACTGGTGGTGAAGCACCAAGGTCTGGGGTCTCCATCTGGGTTTCTGCAGTAGTTTTCTTCTAGATACTTCTCTGGTAGACTACAAAGGACAACATTCACAGGTTGTCCCTTTTTCCATACAGACCATTTTTAAATCATTGCTAATGTTAAATGAGCCGCGTGTATCGTCTTACGCGCTGGGGATGTAGCCGTGGTTGTGAGGCTTCTGCGAGTCCCATCGTTGGCATATGTACCCGTTCCCAGTGGTGGAGGTTTTCCCTCTGTAGTTCTCACCACTACAGTGAATACACTCATCTGAGGAGAAATACACACACACACATAAGTCACAGCATCGTCCACACAGACAGAGACATGAAGTGCTGGACATGATGTCCTACCAGTGCACTTGTCTACGTTGCAGTGCTCCCAGCGGGTGTTTCGGTCCGTGGTGTAGCACCAGGGGCCGCCACTGTCTCCGTCCGGGTTTCTACAGAAGTTAGAGTCTAAGTCTGCTCGAGGATGAGTCTCCGGTGCCATGCTGTAGAAAGACAGTAGAGGCAGTAGAGCGTTGGATCACGGTGGTTCTGAGCACAGAGTGGTGTGGTAGAGTGGACTCCTACTTTGGTTTGTGCGGTTCTTTCGCGTCCCATCGCTGACAGATCGTCCCTGATTTGGTTTTGGACTTTGTTCCTCTGTAATCTGTTCCTATACCGTTTACACACTCCAGAAGGTAGTCTAGAAAAAAAAAAGAAGAAAGAAACAGAATAAGGTCATGTTTGTGCCAGGGCTGACTACTGTACTATTGATATCTGTATTGGTATCTGTTTTTTTGTTTGTTTGTTGGTTTGAATGTGGTAAACATTAACACGATGAAGAAGAATAAAGTCCAGGTCTCTGATCTTCACTGTGTCAAATCCAAACCAAAGACGGTGAAGAAAACTCGCCCTCTTTTTCGTATAAGGCTGCGCTGCTTCTCCGCAGAACCGTCTCTGTTTTTGAGTTATCTGTGGCCGTCCAACACTCCTGGTCCTTCTCCACGTACATGAAGGACCTGTGAGATCACAGAGAGGACGTTCACCGTATGTGACGGTTGGTGCCGAGCTTAACCATAAAAAAAACAAAAACAAAAAAAAGACAAGTGTTGTGAGTGTGTGTGTCTTAACGTACTTGCAGGTGAAGGTTGTTTCACTGTTGCATTTTGCGGCACATTCGGCCACACTGTTGATCGTGTACTGACGTTTGTTCAGTGACAGGATCCACGCTCCTTCTGTTTTAGCAAAGCCGGTCAAATTGGTGCCACTGGCTGAAAAACAACAAAAGAAAACAAAAAGGACATTTTATTAGGACAATATAATGAACTAAGAGTCTGGGGGTGTCGGGGGGGGGGGGGGGGGGGGGGGGAGGGGAGACACATATCGTGCCTATAGTATTGCGGTGTATTACAGTATATCGTATTGTTGTCCCTGTATCGTGATACGTATCGTATCGCCAGATTCTTGTAAATAAAACCTTAAATACAATTTTAAAAACGATTCCAAAAGTCAGGTACAAATTTTACATTGGAAAAAAAAAGATAATTAATTTTTAGTGAATGAATAATTATTCACTTTTTCTACAAATAATAAACATCACTGAAAAGAAACATTGTAAATCATTTGTTTTTATATACTTTATGTATTGCTGTGCTAAAAGATTAGTTTTAATATTGACAAAATATTAGTTCTGATACAGTTGTCTTTTTTTATTTAATGTTATTTAAAATAAAAAATACAAAATAATATTCCACCATTGTCAATGTCTGTAAATATCACTGTTTCGCTACGTAAAGCAAATGCGAATGGACATTAAATTGTCTGAATAAAAGCATGGTTTATATAAATGTACCTTATATTTATTTTAACATTAATACATTTATAATGAATTTCTTCTTCTTCTTCTTCTCATGTTCTTACCAGTGCAGACCAGTGCTCCCAGCAGGACAGCTGCTCTGTACACGTCCATGGTTGAACTCCCAGCGTCAGCAGCTCATAGTCCACTGAAGCCTGCTGTGTTCTCCACATCCTACTGAGAACCTCAGTGCACTGAGAAGACAAACAGACCAGAGAGACTTTAGTCAATCATTGGCTGGACAAGGACAGTGACGGTGCCACAGGTCAGAATCTCTTTAACACAAAACACCTTTTTTACAGTTCTTCCCAATAACAAACTGGACAAGAAACAAAAATAAAGTTCTCAACCTCTGTGCAGTGGTTAGTGACAGGGGTCCAGAAAAACCAGTGGGTTCTCCACAGAACACACAGAACCAGGTTCTCTCCAGACCAGACACTGATGTGGAAGAATGTGTTTTTATTGATTCTTTTCTTTTTGGAGTATTTTCAAAGTATTTGAAGTACGGCTAACAGGATTCCTCTTCTGTCGTTGCTGGACTGAAGAGCATCAATAAGACTGAAAAACACCCGGTGGTGAAAACACCTCGGTGCAGTCAACGTCTGACAGACAGAGACTAATCAACTCTGTTTGTAAAGGCCGTCGAAAATGTTGTTGAAAAAACCCCAAACTGTGGCCCAGATCAAAACAGGAATCAATAGATGAAGTTAATGTTCAGCCCAGAGAAGAGACCCCCGACCCCAACGACACACACCGCAAACAAATGATTACAACACCGGCCCCGCCACAGGGCAGAACAATCACTGTTCAATGACACCACGGGGTTTACTGACATTAAAACACATCATGGAATACTGTAGTACATGTCATACTCTGTACTGTAGTATTTAGTAGAACTCTAACTGAGGCACGTCAAGAAAATCAGGAATTTAATGTTTCTGCTTCGTATACTTTCACATGACATTACCTCTAAATGTAGTACAAATATATGTCCAGTATTTATAGTACATAGGAATACTGTGGACTAGAGCTGTGTGTTGGCAAGAATCTGGCGATAAGATACGTATCACGATACAGGGGCAGCGATACCACGTATTGAAATACTATAGACATTAGGAAATATCTTATATATATATATTATCTTTTCCAGTTTTTTTTTTGCAGGAAATTTAAAACTTTTTAAAATTAACTTCTCCTTTCCTCCTTTCTTCTTTCCATAAACCTTATGATTCTTTAATTCTTTCTTCTTCTGCGTTCAACTCTAAGACTCCTGGGAAAAATCTATTTTCTCAGAAATGTTTTCAAATCTCAGACTCACCCATTTCATTCAGTGTAAAAAAAAAACCACAAGTAGAATGGACTCAGATAAAAAGCTCTACCTCAGTAATGGTTGTTTTCACCTGACAAGTACCTTTTTCTCCTCGAACAAAAAATGTTGAAAAATTCAACTTTTTAATTTACTTTTTTTTTTGTCAGGTAGTGAATCTGCAGCTTCCAGCTACAGTAACTGTCTTTTTGTTTAACTCCAGACTGAGGGCATTGGTTTTGTTCAGTATTGAGTTGAGTTGAAGGTCAGTTCTCTTCTTCAGTTTTTTATTTTGTTAATTTACTACTTTTCCGCACAAAAAAAAAAGAAAAGAAAGAAGAGTTTGGTTTACCCTAGTCTGTGAAAACGTATTTCTGTGTTACTACAAACCAAAGTTGGTCTTGTTTTTTTAATTGTATTATTTATGTGTTCTGCACACAAAAAATGTTTACACAAAAAGTAAAAAAAAAATTCAAGTCACATTTATTGGCAACACGCTGCATAACGCACTCATTCTGCGTCATTACAATGTAAAACATATACTTAATCTAAAAGTGCACGTATATGTCCACTAGAGGGCGACAAAGCAATTCAAATTAAATCGTATATAAAGAGAAAAAATGTCTGGAAATTCACTGATCAGCTAAAACAGCAACAACAACAACAAAAAAATTGCACCCATTGTTTTTTACCTCAAATATAGGCAGTAAAGTCTGGTTAAAATATACTTTACTGTTTGTTTCAGTGTATTATGGGATTGTTTAACAGGACTAGAGGAGACAGATTTGTCAGCGTCATCTTTAAAGAACTAAAAGACACAGAGCCCCCCCCCCCCACACACACACACACACACACACACACAGTGTCCAGCTGTCTCCCTCTGTGCTTGTAAGAGAATCCTCTGGGCCTGTGCTCTGACCCACTCCATCAATCTGTGTGTGTTTGACAGGAACTATGCCCACCTGTTCTCCCACACTCAGCCACCGTGCTGCTGGACTCTACAGGTCCTGGACTGGACTGGACTGGACTGATGGCAACACACACGCACACACAGGAGGAGGAACACTGAGGTTGGTGTCTGAGAACAATTGGTGCTGTTTGACCTTGTTGACCTTTAGACTTGTTTTAAAATATCTGTCCGGTCTGCTGTATGTGAATGTGTTTTTTCATCTGCACCTCGACGACCGGTCGATTGGACAAACACCTAACCATTTAACTACCTGTCCAAAAAGTTATTGATGAAGTATAAATGAGATCAAACAGTCTTTACATGTCGCTGCAGCTCCAGATCAACGGATCTTCTCTTCTTCTACTCACTCAAACATTCTTTTTCAGTTTGGGGGATTTTGCAGGATTTGAACCACAGACCTCAGATCAGTCACCTAAGTCCTGGAGCTTAAGTAGGAAGTCCAGCTGTAGATCACCTGTCCAACCAAGACCTGCTCATCGTCACACCTCACCGATCACTCTTCATCTCCTCCTCCACACATCCATTAGACACACACACACACACACACACACACACACCACCCCCTGAGGCTCAGTGGTGTTCTCTAATGCCTCTGAGCCTCAGACAGGAAGTGGTGAAGGTGGATGTCCTCTCAGGTTACCTGTCCAGGTATCAGTGTGTGTTTCACACGGGTTTTGGTGTGAGGTCCAGAGGTCCAGACCCCGAGAGCTGAGGAGAAGTTGTTGTTTGAAGAGGCTGACACACACACATTCCTGGAGTCCACACTCTGCCTGTTGTCTGTGGTGGTGTCTGTGGTGGTGTCTGTGGTGGTGTCTGTCCTCTGAAATAAAAAGATGGCCCTGGTTGAGGCTGGTGCAACATCTGAGATGAAGGCGCTCACAGTGGTGTTGGCGGAGGTTCAGGCGCCGCAGAGGCCGAGCTTTCACTGACTGGGAGAAATGGACAGACAGCTGAGGAGGAGGAGGAGGAAGAGGAGGGCGCTCCTCACTTTTCTCCTTCTCTTTGTTTGTCATTGTCAAATATAATTAAAAATGTTCACTGGTGGTAAAACTACATGTACAGAGGAAGAGGAGGAGGAGGAGGAAGAGGAGGACGCTCCCCACTTTTCTCCTTCTCTTTGTTTGTCATTGTCAAATATAATTAAAAATGTTCATTGGTGGTAAAAATACATGTACATTAATTAAAAATGTTCACTGGTGGTAAAAATACATGTACAGTACAGTACAGTGCAGTGCAGTACAGTACAGTACAGTACAGTACAGTACTGTGGACCCCCACAAATGTTGCAGACTGGTAACTTGGACAACTGGTGTTTCAGGGAGTTGTGTCTTTTTTTTGTTGCCTAACAAGGACTTTTCCAGTTTGTGGAGTGAAACTGTCAGTCAGTCGTGTGGATCACAGTCATTTCTGCCTGTTGTTTGAGGAACCCTGTTGTTTTGACAGGTCTGATTGAACTTTTACATCTTTGTTGAATTCTTTTGTGCTGTAAATGCTGTGTGTGAGAGAGAGAGAGAGAGAGAGAGAGAGAGAGAGAGATCTTCTCCTCACACATCCATCACTCTCTCCATCTCCTCCTCCTCCTTCTTCTTCTTCAGGTGCAGAGATGACAGGAATGCTGTCGATCCCAGCGTCAGGACTCAGTGCTGGTTGTTAAAGGGCTGTTCCGCTCCGTCTGCCCTGTAAACAGACCATCAGTGCAGGAGCGGGAACCTGATAGGCCTCACTTAGCTGAGACCAGCTCCAACTGCACAGATCACAGACGGAGAACAACACGGGGGGCGTAGGTTGGGAGGTGGAGGTGGAGATGCTTTTCTCTCACCTTGAAAGCGTTTCTTGTGGAGATTGAAGTGAATGTCAGGCACAACCCACTGCCTGAGGAGACAAGGCGCAGCTCAAGTGAGCGCGAGTGTTGATGCCCATTCAGAAAGTTTGGAAGTGAAGTTCAACATTCTTCCTTCACTTTTTTTTCAAACCGCCATTGAACAAGTGTGCAGAGAAGCGAGAGTCAAGTGGGAGTGAAGTCTCCCAACGCTTCAAACCTCCGTTTCATGGTCAACGCAAACACAAAGACCGAGAGTGAACGCTGAAGTTTGACATGTGTGCTGTCGGCTCTGCTCCTCAGGGACGGACTGAGACCACAGACGGGTCTGGACCTGCCGCTTCGAGGGTCCGGCTTTTAGGAGGAGAGAGTGAAAACACAGCTGACGACAGAGAAGAAAAGGAGGAGGAAGAGGAGGAGGAGGAAGAGGAGGAGGAGGAGACTAATGTGTGCATTAAATGTGGCGTAAAAACCAAAACAAAGAGCTGAAACAAGGTAAGACTTCAGGTCAGTGCCTTTGATGTTGCAGTGGTGAAAATGTCCTGACCTGATACTGATCTGACAGCAGTTACTGCACAGAGTTGACGACGTTTATATATCGTATTTTCCGGACTATAAGTCGCTCTGGAGTGAAAGTCGCACCAGCCAAAAAATGCATAATGAAAGTCTCATCAGTGCCCTCTAGAGGAACATGTAAATTTTCAGTGGTACAGGAGTAGCAGATACTCGGGGTGGGGGGGAGGCTTCCCTGTGACTCTGGTTTTAATTCACTTTTCTTTTACAAAACAGATGGAGTTAAAAGTATTTTTTATTAACTAAGAACTTCTGTCTTTCAAAAAATATTGCGTCAAGCAATTTCTCTTAAAGTTGCTTTGAGTTTATCTCTGTGTGTGTGTGTGTGTGTGTGTGTGTGTGTGGTGTTGGGTGGTTGTGGGTGGGGGTTTGGGTGTGTGTGTGTGTGTGTGTGTGTGTGTAGGTGGCTGCCAGCCAATGGTTGTAGTGTTTGGGGAATGTGTGTGATGTTAATGTGCAGTAAATGTGGTAACAAGTTGCTCTGGAGCTCAGAGGAATTAAAGAGCTTCACATTCCCTGGCCGGTCACGGAGTGTGTGTGTGTGTGTGTGTGTGTACGGTCACGGAGTGTGTGTAGAGGTAGAAGCTCAGCAGACACAACAGAGAGCCAGGGAAGAACAAAGGAACTCATTAAAATCAATTCCTTCAAGAAAACAGGAACTTTGAAATTTTGGCCAAAATTTTAACATTTAATCATGGGCAGCTCTTGACTCCTTTGTTGTGTTCAAAGGCTTTGATGACTTCCGTGTTCCATACGTCTTCTCTGTCCGTGGGTTGTGATGCTGTTGTGTTGTTGTTTTTGTTGGGATTGGTGGATTCTAGGACTCCTTTGATGTTTCTTTAAAGTTTGAATTGATAGGTCAATATCGTTATCATTGATTAGCCAATGAAATCTCTCTAAATTCATTTGGGCCTGAAACTCTGTCCTTTGTATTCCCTGGCTCCTTTGAAGTTCTTTGGTTGGGAAGTCCTTTAGACCAGTCCTTGTTCTGTAGGTGGTTTTTGGGTTTTGTTGTCGTCGGTACTTGGGCTTTGAGAATGAAGGACTCTCCTTTGATCTGTCCTAACGCAGACTGAATGTACATGAAAACTGTCTTTGTTGTTTGTTGTCGTCGTGGATGTTGAGATTCTGCAGCAGCCGATGACGTACAACGTAAAGATGTTTGTCAGATTCATTTCTTTCTATATAAAAATTGTAAAATAAAAACAGTGACGAGTCGGTGGAGTTGAAAGGACCGAAGAGAAAAGAGTTCTTCAGCTGTTTTTCATCCACAAACAAAAACAAAAACACTTTGAATTCAATTGATAGAAATAAAGCCATAAACCAGTGCGTCCGTGGTCGGAGCCTCGGAGCGAACGGCCGTCGTCCTTAACCTGAGACCCGGCTCTTTTTATGTCCATACAATCACAGCTGCTTTTTTACCTTTTCTCTCATGCGGACGTAAAAATGAATTAACTCTGCTCTTTGTACAAAAAAAAAGCAATTTAGTGTTTTTTTTTGGTTTTTTTTTTTTAAAGAGAAATCAAAAAAGGACGGGGGGGGAACTCTCCACCCGTCTTTTGTCCATCATCGCCGGAGTCAGGAGCTGATTTTTCTCTGCAGCTGTCTCTCTCTCTCTCTCTCTGTCTCTCTCTCTCTCTCTCTCTCTCTCCTCAAACAAAAATGCCGTAAAGAAACTCTGAGAAATGCAACATGTGGCTGAAATCGACCAGTTTTTTTTGCCTTGACACGATAGAATAAAAAAAAAGAGACAGGTTCAGAGTCAGGGACAAATATAAACAACTGCCACTGTCAAACCACTGATTTATTTTATTATTTATTGTTTGTTTTTTGGTTTTTACAACATTAAATCCATAAAGGAAAAACTACAATTTTTAATCTGAAATAAAAAATAACTTTAATATTAATAAATGTTTAAACTGCAGTAAACTTTTTTCTTTTTTTTCCCGCTTTTCTTAGCAATGTATTCAGCACTTACACAGTACGTTAACTAAATTTATATTTGAAATTCTCTCTCTCATCTGTTTGATGTGAGGCCGTACTGTACTGCAGTGATGGAGTGTGTAAGTCGTCAGAGAGACTGAGGTCTGGGGAGAAGAGGTGACGTCACAGACTTTTATTCTACTTTAAACACACACTGTACACAAATGAAGTTTTTACACCGTTTCACCTCCAGTAGCTGCAGTGATGGAGATGTCACACACACACACACACACACACACACACCCACACACACACACACACTGTTCTGCAGGAGCCTGTGGTTCATAGCTGTTGTCATTCATTTTATATTTATGTTTGTAAATATAGATTTTAAATACAGTTTTATGCAGAAATAGATACAGAACAATGAAGACGCACACACTCCCAACACATTACTCTCTCCATGACAGGTGTGTGTGTGTGTGTGTGTGTGTGTGTTGAAAGGCAGTTGTCGCCGACAGCTGCAGGCGGCGGGCGAGAACAGAGTCAAGTGTCCTTAAATAGCCGTGGTCCTCGTGCTTCGTCGTCCTCCGTTTCTTTTCTTCCTCAGTCGACGTGGTGTGAAGTTCACCTCGTTCACTGACGACACTCGACATTTATCTGTTCATCAGTCGTTCCATGAACGGACAGAGGGGAATCTGCTGTGGTGTTGGTTTGGATTCCAAGACTTTAGAAGGTGACCGTGTCAGTCAAAAAGTCCTCAGACGGACGGACGGACGGGCCGGTCCCCACAGGTGTCTGATCGGGACTATAAAACCAGTTCAGACTGGTCTCTGTGTCTGACCAGTTTTGATGATCAGATCCTGAAGGTCATCAACAGGAAGTGGACTTCAGGTTGTGTCTCTGGTCTGGTATTTTACCTCTGTGTTTGCCATAACAGCGCCCCCTGTAGTCCCCCCTCGTTGGCCCACATTGAGGCCAAGTCCTTCAAGTGCTGGTCTTTGGAGTTTTGACAACACGTGTCTCTGTTCGTCTGCCCAACCCAGGGGTTTTTTTCTTTCTCTCCCCGTCCTTGAGGAATGTTGTCTCTGTCTGTTCCAGACAGACAGAGGGTCTCGTCTCTGTCCACATCCGTCGAACTCTCCTCACTTTTTATTCATGTTGTCAGTGGCTCAGCTCAACAAGGCTGCTGCTGCTGCTGCTGCTGCTGCAGCACAGTCCACTGCAACACAGAGCTGCAAGTAGACCACAAACTGTTACAGCACAAAACAGTGGATCCTCTGATCATCAGCAGCGGAGCCACAGAGTAGAAAGAGCAGAGGTACAGAGGGCCAGAGCTGAAGCAGAGAGAGAGAGAGAGAGGAGGAAAAAAGAGAAAGGAAGGGAGAAGAGGAGGAACAGGAGGAGGAGGAGGACAGAGGGGAAGTGATTAGACAACTGTCCACTGGACGAAGGGCAGGAGGAGCTGCCTGAGGGCAGATGAAACTGAGACAGAGGAGGAAGTTGACAGCAGACCAGGTGATGAGTGACACG